ATATAAGTATATATAGTATAGTATATAGGTTCTGATCTCAGCTTCTACAGAATGCCGTCCTTTTAGATTGCTCAGCCTGAGATTCTGTTATTTTCTGATGCCACTGGACACAATTGCTTTTTGTTCTACATTATTGAAGGGGTCATTTTTTCTAATTTCGGCTGCTAAGGATGCGAATTTAGCATCTGTCTTACAGAAATCTTTCTTTCATCAAAGAATTCCCGGAAGCCATCAAGAGGATACGTGAATAGAATTCTTTTTTTCTATTTCAAAATAGAAAATCGTATAGTTTTGTAGTGACTATGTAGGCTACGGATTTATAAGAGAGCGACACAGGCTGTGCCCAGGGATGGTAGAATTTCAGGGGAGACGAATCCTATTATATCATCATATCAGGGGGTAATTGTGGTCATAGCGTTCTGTTTAGGCTTTTTTCATATCTCTATAGTTTGAGCTCGATGGACATGTGGCTTTTTTCAACCTGACCATCTATGTAACTATGTAACTATATTTTAAAGGAGAACTGAGATGAGTGCTTTTCACTCACCTCATAGTTCTAGCCGACTTGTGACAATGAGACTGTCACAGGTGGGCTCAGTAGATCGGGAGGTGAGCGAACACATACCGGCGTTCCCTCACCTCTCGATCCTGTCACGGCTCTCTGCCGTGACAGGGGAGGGGTTGGATTCCACTGTCACTCACGCAGCTGAGCGGATCCCGGCATAATTGCAGCTCGTGGTATACTGAGCTTAGGGTGACGGGAGGACGCTAGTTTGTGTCCTCCTGTTACCCTAAGGAGAACTATGGGGAAAAGCCTTGGGCTCCTGTGAAAGGGAGCATTAGTTGATGGAGTCAGGACTTGGGGTGGGAGGCTCTGTTAAAAGGCTTTTGGTTATTGGGAGGTTGTATAGGCTGACATGTTGTAGTGGTGGGCTTTCTGAGATATTTAGTTATGTTGGAGCACTGACCTACAGATGTCCATCCACATGACGAGTCTTGTCATTCCTTGCAACTGCTTCTATAGATTTCATGACCCAACCAGTACATAAGTAAGTGTCCTTTAGACCAGTGGTTCTCAACCTGTGTAACCTCAGGACCCACATTTGTCCTTGATCATTAAGTCGTGACCCAAGTCACAATGCAATTGAATGCATGGAATTAGGGTACAGTGCGTTCCGGTGTGGGCATACAAGCTGTGGCTTCCCACACCAGAATGCACGGCAGGTGCGATTGCATGGTACAGTGCGGTATTCGCACGGAACTATGTGATTAACGCATTGTATTTGTGTGAACGTGCCCTCAAAAACACTGACATACATACACAACCACAGACACAAGACACACACAATGGGGCCAAACTGGGCATATTGCCCTCCTAACCCACTCTTGTGCCCCTCATGGCCTACCCCTGTGGCCAGGATGCATGTAAGGTCTGGGATGACACCACAAGGTCGCCCATGTCTCTTTATAAGTTATTTGCTGTTCTCTGCTCATTTCAGTGAAGTTACAGGAAGTGAGGGGATAGCCCGTGTTTAATAATCATCACCAGAACATTTCAGCCAGATGAAAGATTTCCCCTCTACTCCAGGTGACAACTGTAAAATTTACAGGTGACAACTGTACAGGTGACAACTGTAAAATTTACAGGTGACAACTTTACAGGTGACATCTGTAAAATTTTGGCACTTCTGACCATTGAAGGCATTCGTAATCCCCACCTAGGCAATGCTAAAAATAGGGAGCATTGCTTGCATATATTTTCCCATTTCCACCTTTGGACTATACTAGAGTGCGTTCTATGAGGGAAATGTGTGCTACAAAAAAAGAAAAACCATTGTGCTTATACAGTTCCATGGAAATCAGCCTCTTTCTAGGCCAATATGATTTTCTAAACAAAGCTAATTGCTTTGCATTTGCGCTTTTGCAAGTAAATAGGGCCTTGTGATAGTCAATTACATTTGCAGAAATTGCCTCTCCGGGGTTCCAGTTTAGGTACACATACATGTTCCATAAGCTATTGAACGTTCCGGAGAATTTGTTAGTAAGATGTGGAAGATGACAACAGGGAGCCACTTGTAGACTAAAAGGGTTTAATGCTGAGGATAGAAGCTGTTGGGTGGTTATTATTGTATTCTGACTCCGATCGTTGTGATAGCGAAATATATCCCTTGCTGAGACCTCTATGCCTGGCCTGTATAAGCAGATATACTCACTGCGGACAATCCCCGTCAGATAGCTGAACTCGTCAATACCGATTCATTCAAAGAGGTGTTTATTCTTTACATCAGGGGTTACAGCAGATAACAGGAACAGCAGATGAATGGTGATAGTATTGTGCGGTCAGAAAATGATGCCTTTCCTCCGTACTGTGCAGATTACCTGTGTGTCCTTGTTACATGTGGCTTTCAACTGTGGCCATGACACAGGAAGTACTGCACACAGGAAGAAGGGTGGGGCTACATACAGAGAGGAAATACATCGTAGACATCACAAAGAATCACAGAAAAACATGTACATTACAACAAAAGGCCACTAGATGGCAGCATAGGATAACACATGAATTTAGCTATGAGAAAATAGTTAGGCAAATCACACTATATAAATTCTAACCTATATAACAATGCTAATCTTAACTGAGGCTATGCATCTCATATTCTATGCCCCTATTGGGGCGGCACATATTGGATAGAATGGAAAAAAAATTCGGGAGTAGGGCTTTTGAGAGTAGGCTCTAAGGTAGCTACGGACTTCGGTGGACAGTCAAACAGTTTGGTCATTTACAAGTGGATTGGGGAACGTTTGTAGACCCCACCATGAACCCTGGCTGACACTCCATTGCAAGGCCTGCTCAGGAGGAAAATATATGGGCTGGTCAATCATTATTGTTTCCACTCAGACAGGCCTGTGCCTGCAGCGCACATGCAAGTGGCATGTGCATAGAAAGATCTTTTGATAGAAAGATAATTCAGTGACTGGCAGGGGCGTCCCGAGGCCGCGTGACACCCGAAGCAGGGACCGGGTGACACCCCGCAGTGACGTCATCGCGCACACGCAGTCATCTAATTGACGCCTGCCGGCGGCCATCTTGGTGATGGACGCCAGCAGGGTCACTCTCCTGACACTGACGGGCTCTCGGTCGATGACCGAATGCCCGACGTTTTAGAGTGGGTGACACCAAAATGACTGTCTGTCATTTTGGTGTCACCCGGGTGCGGGTCACCCCCCCCCGCATCCCCCTTGTGACGCCACTGTTGACTGCGTAAATTGTATTTCTATAAACGCACACAATGAAAGGACGATCGGTCTAAAAGCTTACAGTGATGGTAAAGTCATTAGGTTGTTAGGCTATTTCAAATGCTGATTAAATCACTTACAATGGACGGTGCTCCTTAATGTTCAAAAGTTTTCGTTTCCTGCAGAATCAGCTGGTCCCCTGAGCACCGGCCCTGATATCCTGTTTTAGGGTCCTCTACCTTGCTGGGTCCCATGGAGCCACCCTTGTGTGTGCTAGTAAGCTGTGTGTGGCTCAGTGAACACACGGGCACAGCAAGGCAAACCATTCCCCTGCTCCCCATTGCTCCTTTCTCTCTTTTCCAAGCTAGCAGATGGATGGCTGCTGGAGACTGCTCTGTCCCATGTGATCGTAAGTTCAGGGAAGCTGAACTGAGAGAGTTGGAGCTATTTGGAAACGTGATGACTGTAACTGTTTGGGGAAAAATGGAAATAAACACTTTGCTGAGCGATGTATATTTATTTGATCTGGATTCATTATTGAAATATGTTTGAGAGTTTAATACTATTATAATTTCTAGCCCTAGCCTCCGCACAAGAGGAGGGGATGTGAAACGTCTTCTGGAATAAGCTTTGTGTCGTTTTGTTGTTTTACAGACGACAGATGATCAGTGAGCCCAAAATGTGGAGATGTGAGTCAGACTCTACCACATGTGTGGGTGTGCGTGTTCTGCGGTATATAGGGCAAATCTGTCCTGCTACATACACAAGCATACACAGACAGATTGTACTGTAGTATGAGGACCGCATGTGACTTGGTATCATAAGATAACATTGTTTGTTTCAGTTGGTGCATTGGATGTTCATCATAGGAATACCTTGATCTGGTAGATCCCGCACTGCAAGGGTTAAGTGCCCATTTTGCTCTAGGGTCCAAAATAAAAAGATATACGCAGCTGATCGTCGGTCCCAGCAGTCGCTTCTCCCCCGTGCTGCAGCGGTCTAATGACCCGTGCCGTCATCATGTCCATACAGTATATAAGATGTGAAGGCACCAAGAGACATCCCAGAGCAGGAGCCGAGAGGGAGGTAGGTGAGGGGTCATCACCACGGGTGAGTGTATCCTTTCTATTCTAGACCCTGGACCAAAACGAGCACTTAACACCAGAGTTCTATAAAATAAGATATTGATGGCAAGTTCCAGTGACCACTTCAATTAAAGCATACAATATAAGATTAGATTTTCATATTCCCGCTGTCATTTTTCACTACAGGATTTAATCTGATTGGCTGTTTTGGAACAGGACAGGCTGCTTTTATTTCTGACCCCCTAGCAAAGAAGGTGCAGCAGCCATTTAACTAAGTTAGAGGTGTCGCAGCACTTGATTTGTTACATAGTTACATAGTTACATAGTATTTGAGGTTGAATAAAGACATTAGTCCATCAAGTCCAACCTATTAGGATCTCATTCTAGGAGTACCTGTACCCCTGTATATTACGGTCCCTTAAGAAATCGTCCAAAAGTTTCTTGAACAATTCCACATTCTTTGCTGAAATCACCGCCTGTGGCAGTGAGTTCCAGACCCTAACTGATCTTACTGTGAAGGTGTTTGGCTTTCCTCAAACTCCTTTATTTGAAAGACTCAGGACATGATAATATACATCACTGGTCGGCTGCTCAATTTACTTGTATTTTATTATGTATACTTTATATGCAATGTCTTTCTTCCTGTCCCATCTATGTGTTGATCCTTATGTTCCCGTGTAGCCTGTGCAGAGCAGAGCAGAGAAGCAGGGAGCTCGGCTCTTTCTCCCCATAGTGGCCCTTCAGAGGTGACTGTCGAGGAACCCCAACATTCACCGGCTGTCGAAGAACAATCCGGAATCCTGGCACCAAATTCTGGCCTTCTGCAGGTCACAGAAAGAAGACGTAAGTGTTCCGTGGTGGATTCATGGTACCTTGAGTCCAGGGCTGTTTTCAGTTCAAGGACCTCCAGCCAGTTTATGGGCATTATATATATATATAAGGATTTACCATAAAGAGAGACATTATAGTCACAATACAATTCAAAAGAAGAGAGTCAGGAGGAACCTGCCGGTGAGTGTTTACAATCTAAAGGGGAAGGGCAAGTGATACAAGAGGTAGTAACTGTGCGGGGATGAGTTGTATGAGAAAGTGAAATTTCAGTAGTTAGGTAGAGGCGACTTTCCTGAGGAGAAGAGCTTTCAGGGATGGCCTAAAGGAGTAGAAGATATCCATAAAGGTTGGGGTAGGGAGTACCAGAGGATGGGAGAGACTTTGGAGAAGACCTGGATGGGAAGGAATGAGGGAGCCAGAGAGCATATATATAAGGGGGATATAAGGGGCATATATAAGGGGAATATAAGGGGCATATATAAGAAGTAATATAAGGGGCATATACTGTATAAGGGGGGATACAAGGGGCATATATAAGAAGGAATATAAGGGGCATATATAAGAAGGAATATAAGGGGCATATATAAGAAGGAATATAAGAGGCATATATAAGGGGGAATATAGAGGGCATATGTAAGGGGAGATATAAGGGGCATATATAAGGGGGGATAAAGGGGGCATATAAGGGATATTTATTTTTCTCTGTGTATGGGTCCTCTGAAATAACTTGTGTTTGCACCTCTGCAGAGCCTCTGAGCAGTGTCTCCTCTCTTGAAGTGCACTTTGATCTCCTAGACCTGACCGAACTCACAGATATGTCAGATCAGGAACTGGCCGAAGTGTTCGCCGACTCTGATGATGAAAATCCACACAATGAGCCACTCCCAGGTATGACATCCATCCAAACTATTGTCATGTAATGAATCTATTAAAAAGTAAAATAGACCTAGGGGAAAGGTCCATGTACAATGCATGCATGTCCTTTTTTTAAATCCTGCACTTACTTGTGTAATTATAACATAGAAATGTGCGCTATCACACCCTGAGGCTGATTTATTAAGGAGTTAAGACTTTTCCCCTCAATAAATTCTAGCTGCGTTCACTTTAAATACCCAATCGTGCACATTTAATTAAAAAAAACAGGAATTTGTTGTTCACATGATTGAAGTGAATCTTTATGTAATTTAATGAGTGAATATTTTTAATTCCTTTGGTAAATCAGGCTTAATGCCGCTTAGCTCTTACCCTCCACTCTTTTGCTTCCTTGGAATACAGTCTCACTTCGGGGCTATTTTGAAGCAATAACAATAAAAGCACCTCGATTCCCTGAGTTATATATCGGTCACTTTGGCACAAATGCAATCAGCAGAAGCAGGAGGTGACAGTGACATACAATGACAGATTTAGAATAGATTTAATCCTCACTTCTGTAGAGACCTGAAGTCACCAAGAACGCGTTGTGGAATTTCTTGTTCAGGGAAAGGCGCATGAAACCTTACAGCAGCAAATTGTAATACGGATGGATATGGAAAGAGGTCATATTATGCAGACTTAATATTTCCTTCTGAAGCTCCTGAGAAATCAAACTCATGTTTTAAGAAATGCATTGGGTTACATCCTCCATATGCACTGTTGGATAAAGGTTTATTACGGGAAAAAGTATCAAACAGACCAAAATTAGCATAAGTCTTACCGCACAGAAAGTGTAACCTGGTTTGCATGTAGAGGTTAAAATCTTGTCTATTAAACATGTGACTTCATGAATTTTGCTATTAATATGGATTATATTTTAATGCATTGAATAGAATTTGGACAACTGATTCTTTAACATATTTACTTTTCAAGTACCGGTATGCTCCCACTTGGTTTATATTTTTTCCTAGTTTTGAGAGAAAAACTAGGGGATGTTAGTATTTATTAGACATGTAAGATGCAAAAAAATTCGGTTCGGATATTTCGTTATTTCGGAATTTGGTATTCCGATCCGAAATTCAATTCGGTTCGGGTTTCGGATTTGGGCGAAATCTGAATTTCCTTAGTTTCGGATGAGTTTACGAATATTCGTTGCGAATATCACAGAAAACCATATACAGATATTAATACTGAAGCTGAATTTCCTAGACCTGAATCTGGGTCTGTGAATCATATATATATATATAATACTAAAGCTGAGGCTCCAAGACCCAAATGGCATTCAGGTCTGGGAGCCTCAGCTTTAGTATTATATGTATATACTGTATACGGCTCCCATGTTGCCGTAACGAAAATTCGTGTTCAGACCCATTCGGATGCATTAAACAGAAAAACACATGATTGGCCAGAAAAGTCACATGTCCGATTTCAGTTTTGTTATTGAATGAAATTCGGACGGGATCCGAAACTCAGAAACAGAAATTCGGATTCAGACACATTCGGATGCATTGGGATTTGGAAATTCTGATGTGTCCGAATGCCTGAAAATTGGTCTGAATTTTGATTCAGTATTTATTATAATTGAACAAATATATATTACACCTCTCTCATACCACTACTTCTCAAGATGATAACCTCTAGACATGTGCACAACAAAAAAAATTAGTTTCCAGATGAAACAAATGAAAACGAAAAATGTCAAAGGAAAAAAAAATGTATGTTGTTTTTTCGGATTCGGAAGCAACGAGCCTCCGAATCCGAAACTGCACACTGAAACCGCAGAACGAGCGACGGCCATGCCGGCGTATTATGCGCCCCGCCATTTTGGAGTAGATCTTGGTGTACACCAAGATGGCGGCGCCCGCATGTTCAAGCTCCGCCATCTTGGTGTACACCAAGATCTACTCCACAATGGAGGCGCGCATGATCTGGCCACTGCTCGTTCAGCATGTGACGTTACAGTCATGTGACGCCATACGCTCTGCCTTTAAGATGGCGGCGGGCATGCGCAGAACATGTGTTCTTAAAACTAATTTATGTATGCCCGAATATCGTTTTATTTCGGATTTGGACAAACCGCCGAATCAACTGATTTTCATTGATTTGCAGGTTTGTCCGAATCGGAATGCACATGTCTAATAACCTCACTGCCTAAACCCAGCAGTGGGGCAGCAGAATGCAGTGTACCAGATCCATCTGACCAGTGGATGGAAATAACAGGGCTGAAAAGATACAGTGCATAGCAAGTTCACTGGCCACTTTACTTTATATTTTAATCAAGGGGATTAGCTTCCTGTCCTGATGCTGAGAGGAGGAAGACCTAGAGACAACCCTGTATGGTTACACAACGTGACATAATCAAACCGAAGCATAGCTTGGAGCTATGTCCTTCTAAATCTGTACAGTGATGGCAAAAATAAATTCCAAATGGCTAAGGGACCCCATGTGACCTTGGAAAATGATCTGCCATACAAAATGTATTTGTTGAGAATAAACTATAGATTGTGTTGCAGTAGAGTAGGGTGCTGAGGGTAAAACAATGATCAAGCTTTGCAGGTGACTCAGCATCTATCCCAAGGCTAATGAACCTTTAATAAAACAATTCCAGTGTGGAGTGAGTGCGTGCTCTGAATACATAAAGGATCAGCTCAGCTCTCTGTCTCTTCCTATGACCTTGTTAGTGAAGAAAGGACACACTAAGTTGTAGACTTCCTAGAGACATTTCTGTTTTGTTTAAATACATGGATTTTGTGTCCAGGGAAATGCCCTGTCTGATACCATCTCTTCATTTACAGGTCTACAGTTACCTCCTCTGCCACGTGCTGGGTATCTACGCTCTCCATCTTGGACCCGATCACGCGCAGAGAGGGAGAAGAAGCATCTCAGTGACTCAGAACTGCAAGGAGGCCTGCTGGACAAGTTTCTTGCTATAGAGAGATCCAAAGAGAATTAAAAAACAAGCCTTTACCCCAACTCAAACTGGTCCCTGCTGCCCTCTTATCATTCATATCAGGGAACGGACCACAGAAAGTGCCAAGACCATAGCTCTCAAAACTGAATTAGCTACAGAGACCCTCGTGATGCTGCCCATAGACTTCACAGAGAATAGAATCTGGGTCCAGAGTCCTACTCCTAATACTTCCTTGCAGCACAAGGAACCTTTAGTAGAGGAGCTGGAAGTAACGTGGACGATCAGTAACTGCACTAGTATAGGTGACATTGTAAAATGACCAGCTATGTAATAAGTTCAATAGCAAGACATCAGAGAACCGTAGTACAACCCAACCAATGGATTGTCCTTCAACACCATTCCCTGCCCTATGATATACTTGGTGCTCAGAGATTGATGACTACTCAAAGGAGATCATGTAAGAAGAAGCCAAGACTTAGTACTCAAAAATGCTTTGTTTGGGTCTATACCAGCAGATGCAGATTGGTAAGAAAGTAAAGAACCCAGCCCATAATGGTGGAACATCCATGAGATCTGCCATCATGCCACCCCTCTCCCAAAAGACAAAAAGAGAGGAGCACACTTAAAGATGGTAGTGCACAGCTTTTGGGACTAATTCCAGTTGACATAACGTCTTTCATAAGCACAGAGTTCCCCCTGCAGCCTTAAGTACACCTCATCTACCACATCTTTAAATACCTTTAACGGCCCCCTGCTGAGTCAAAGTCTTGCCACGAAACATTTGTGGATCGTGTTGGTGGTCAGATGCAGTACATAAGCAGTTTGTCAGATAGTCCTCACATCATGTGAAAGAAGCAGCGTTCCAATGTGTATTCCAAAGTTCAGGTGACCACTTTCGTTTCGTTACTTTGGTGACACTTTTGCACTTTAAAATCACATGAAGTGGCTGCGCCCCACAGCGAAGAGATTTCTCCTTCAAGGTCCCCTGCGAGGGGAGGTTCACGGCACTTAAGGGGTTTGTCGTTGATGGTTTTAGATGGTTCTGTTGTTTGCAACATGTTGCATTAAATTATTTCTCAACCACAAGATTATGCACATTTGTTTCTGAGTCCAGTACTATCCTAGTCCAGTGTCTCTAAAACCTTTGTCATTCATCAGGTAGCACCTTCACCACTTGTGAGTATCTCGTCCATAACCCTGGAGCAGTTCCCAGTCCAGGATGGGGACTTTGTAGGATTTATGTTTTTAAAACTGTTAAAAATAAAAAAAAACAGCTCTGCAAGCAATACTCAGGTCCTCTCTGGTACTGTTCTCCTTCGCAGGAAATCCATTTCCACCATTAAATGTCCTGGTGGTGGGCATTACTTAGACCCGAAGACCCCCCCCGCAATTTCAAATGAAATGACACAGAGAGGTGCGTTGATCTGATCATGTCAGCGCCGCTCTCTGCATCACTGAGGACTGCTTAGCCCAGGGATTAGGTGAAGAAGAAGGGGAACCTGTGGCATTATGTGACCGGCCTGAAGACATCTGGAAAAGGTAAATATAAAAATAAAAAAAGCATAAAAAGATACCACCTTGGGGTCCTCCATGGGGAAAAGGGAGCTTGGATTTGGGGTTTAAGATTTACCTCAAGCCTGCCCTTCTAGATTTAAGGTGTCAGCAGATTTCTTTGTCATACACACCCGCTCATGACTGTAATACTGCCATTGAGAAAGCATCAAAACCAAACTGCTGTCTCCAATTGGCCAAGAAACCAATAGGCAACCTTCATTTAGTGCTTAACTGGTCCCACTAGGAGAACACCTACCAGACACTGTCAGCTACAACTACTGTTACTAATACTAGCTACTGACAGGCATATGAATAGCTGGCAGGCAGGCATGGTGGGTCTTCCTAGGTTTAATTCGCTGGGAAAGTTTGGTGAATCCTGTTTGGAATTCATGAAACCCGAACCTAAAAGCAAATCCCATTGAAGTCTCCAGGGGGACAAATCCTGAAAGTAGATTCTGGCCATTATTAGGGCTAGTTGGCAAAATGCTGTAAAAAAAGGCACGGGAGGCTAGGCACGGCACATGGGGAGCCTATGCCAATGGCAAAAAGAAAAATACAGCGGAGACAGGGACCTATTGATGCAGCTTTGAGGGCAACATGAAAAATACCCCAATCGTTCAAATAACAGGGTGAAGGATTCCTTAAAACTGTTTTAAGGGACAATATCAGTCACAGTGAGAAATTACATGCAGCAGCAGCACTCAATTCTACTTTCATTCTATTGATATTAGTTTAAAAAAACCAAAAGTTATCATCTGAAAAATAGAAAAAATATCTAAGGTGTTGACAATGGATGAGCTAGCTATCAATCAGTTGTTAGGGACAGTTATTGGGCCATACAAATCTTCCTGCCCGGCTCTTAGCAACCTGGGACGCTGTGGCCGGCATCCCACCCGCATACCCATTTCCCCGCCCCCTCTGGTTGCTAAGAGCCGGGCTGGCCCTTACACATCTCCCCGTCCGGCTCTTAGCAACCTGGGACACTCTAGTTGGTGCCTCGCACAGCTCCTGGCAACCAGTGATGTCACTGGTTGCCAGGAGCTTGGCGGGACGCCGACCAGAGTCTCCCAGGTTGGGCTGGATGGTGAGATGAATATGGGACGAGGGTTGGTGAGTGATAAAAGTCAGCTGTCTCCATGGATCAGTGAATGCTTTCCGATCCCCCGAGCACTGCCCCCCCCCCCTCCCCCCCAAGAGGAGCCCAGGGCATGTGCCATATATGCCATGCCCTGGATAGGCTATGGGGCAGCTGGCGTATCCAAAAGCCCTTCTAAGCCAGCTGATACAGACCAGAACCGAAGTCTGCAAATACTCACCTCTGCTCCAGCTATGTGATGTCTGTGAGCTCCCTTCCCAGTGTCGTCATTTTCTCCTTCTGTGTGCCTCCTGGGCATGCGTATCCTAGCACAGAGGCGTGCTGTTACACCACACATGTGCAGTTTGAAATTGGATTTCAAACCCACTGTGAACCAATTGTAGTTGTGAACCTGAACCTCATCCATCCTGGCAGGAAGTTTTTGCTATTAGGCACTCTACATAATTAAGGCTGAACTCCTGGTAAACAGCTAAATATACCGCTTTCCAATGTATAATGTGTAAAATACTGCATTATGACCACTAGTTGGCGATGAGGAGCATAGGAAAGAAGTATTCATTTACGCCGCTCCATCTAGTGGCCATAAGGCGGTATTACATGATGACAGTCAAAATCACATTGGATTCATAAAGAAAATATAGTAAGAATGCTCGTTTTCTGCATCCATTCACACAAAATGAACATTCATAAACATTCACAGGAAGAATGGCTCTGTGCAATGTCTATAAATAGACCACTAAGTGTTTACTTTTCTGCACACACACACATGAAAAGTATTGAAGCCCCTAGATCTGCATGGAACTCACGGAAAAATTAGTATTTTGAGGAAATCACTGGCAGCCTCCTTATTCTCTCACCAGATATCCTGATTAACAAGTATTATGAATTATTTGAACCTTGCTGCATATGGAGGAGATGAAGCAGGACAATGTTTACGCTTGCACGTTTCCTGTATATAGCTGTGATGATACTAAACTTAGCCTGGTTCGTTTAGGTAGGCCTCGGGTCTCTGACTGAATAACTGTTATTGGTTTGGCTGGGCTCCAGCACTCTCTGTGACTGATGTATTATTGATAGTTACAACATGACCCCAAAGCAAGCAGAGGACAAGGCAGGAAGAGAACAGCAACAGTGTAAGGATACTGAACAACCTGCAATGCAACCCCACCCCCACCCCCCGAAAGAAAAAAAAAAGATTATCCACACCGGTATAACAGTTTTGTACAAATGTGAAATTCATTGGTTAAAGCTGAACTCCAGGATAAGCAAATATTGTCTAAATACAAGTCATGTGTATTCTTCCTTCAATCTTGGTGAGCTTTGTGTATTTCTTCCAGATCTGTGCAGTAATCCAGTGTGACACTTCCTGTAATAAAGACCGGCCACTGCTGCTCTCTCTCCTTGTGCAGGGTGACTGGTCTTGTCACTGCCCATTCCCATAGTGGGTGGGGCCTGCTGGGTCCATCTCACAGCTCTGCTCTCTGCACAGGATGTGTACCGCACATTGATATCACTGGGCAATGTCTGGGTTTGCAAAGACATTTGCACACAGAATGGATATATAAAGTATATACTTTATGGCTATTAAAGAAGAACTCTGGGCAAATATAATCTTATCCCTTGTGGTGGGGCTACTCCCGCACTGCAAGGGTTAAATGTTCACTTAGCCTAGGGAGCAAAAAAAAAACCAGAGTCAGAGCTGGAGCGGAGGGGGAGCGAGGCTGCAGGGAGCGGTCTAGGAGTCAGCTGGGATTGCGGTTCGGGTGAGTGTATCTTTGTTATTTTAGCTCCCTTGGACCAATTTTGTGATGACACATTTTCTTCATCGGTTTCATTATCAGGGCGGCGCCATGTTTTCAGAGCAGCAGAGGGAGTCTGGTGCCACAAAGAAAAGTACTATAATATTATTTTATAATAAGGAACAATGGCGGGATCCATTAAAGAGTATTTCCAGTGAATATTAGATGCAGCACACAGCGTCATCTCTGGAAATGACACATGCACCTGTTGCATGGGGACCCCTTGAGACTAAGGGCCACAGGCCAATGGTAAGTTTTGATGTTGGAGTTATATGTGTTACAGAACTAGTTAGTGTTGAGGTTACAGGAGGGTTGGTATAAGGGTTTGTGTTAAGATTATAGGGAGGATTAGTGTTGCAAGAAGAGATAGTGTGAGGGTTGATGTTGGAGGTATGAGTTATAGAACTAGTTAGTATTGGGGTTGGATTAACGTTGGGGCTATATGAAGGGGTAGTGCTAGTGTTACAGAATTAGTGTTGAGGTTACAGGTAGGGTTAGTATTAGGGTTTGTGTTAGGATTATAGGGAGGATTAGTGTTGGGGTTATATGGAGGGTTAGCGCTAGGGTTACAGGAGGGTTAGTATTAGGGTTTGTGTTAGGATTATAGGGAGGATTAGTGTTGGGGTTATATGGAGGGTTAGCGCTAGGGTTACAGGAGGGTTAGTATTAGGGTTTGTGTTAGGATTATAGGGAGGATTAGTGTTGGGGTTATATGGAGGGTTAGCGCTAGGCAGTGGCGTAACTAGTGACCCCAGGGCCCCGATGCAAAAATCCATGAAGGGCCCCCCCCAAAGAAGAAACAAATTAGATTTTTTCAAACAAAATTTAGACATGGGGGAAAAAAAAACCCACACTCTTCTCTTTCATGTCCCCAGCTCCCCATTATCTCCCCCTTCATGTCCCCAGCTTTCCGCTCCCAGATCCCATGTCACCTTCATACTTCCAGCTCCCTGTCTCCCCCTTCGTGTCCGCGGCAGCTCTAGTCGGCACTGGGCAGCAGTTCTGTGTGATGAGGGGACGGGGATTACACCGCTCCCACTCATTAGCTGCTGCCCGGCTGGATGATGCTTCACGCTGCGCCCGGAACCAGGTGAGCCGAGGCCGCAAGGAACTGTGCCGGTCTCGTGCGGACGGCAATGCATCCCTGACAGGGCTATAAGGAGGGCTATAAGGAGGGTTAGAGTTGGTGATACACAGAGGGATGGGGAGAGAGTTAGTGTTAGGGCTGCAAGGAAGGTTAGTGTAAGGATTAGTCTTGGGTTTTCAGTGACAGTTAGCAGGAGGGTGTTAGAGGGAAGGTTTGGGTTATAGGGAGGGTTAGTGTTGTAAGGAAGTTTAGTGGTTGGAATATATGAAGGGATTGTATTAGGGGTACAGGGAAGGTTAGCAGGGCGTTACAGGGAAGGTTTGGGATATAAGGAAGGTTAGCGTTGTATGGAAGATTAGTGAAGGGTTATACGGAGGAATAGTGTTAGGGTTATAGGGAGGGTTAGTGTTGGGTTTAGGGTTACTATTAGGCTTACAGGCAGAGTTAGTGTTAGAACCACCTCTGCACTAGGGGCCCTGCAACAACTATCAGCGCCAATCTCTACTAGCTTTCCTATTTACAGGGAACCCACCAAGACACCTCTTCCATGTCAGC